ATGGTCAAAAGGGGGTGGGGATGGTCAAAGTTGGGTGGGGATGGTCAAAAATGGGGAGATAATGGTCAAAATGGGGTGGGGACGGTGAAAAATGGGGTGGGGATGGTCAAAAATGGGGAGATGATGGTCAAAATGGGGTGGGGATGGTCAAAGTTGGGTGGGGATGGTCAAAAATGGGGAGATAATGGTCAAAATGGGGTGGGGACGGTGAAAAATGGGGTGGGGATGGTCAAAAATGGGGAGATGATGGTCAAAATGGGGTGGGGATGGTCAAAGTTGGGTGGGGATGGTCAAAATGGGGTGGGAACGGCCAAAAATGGGGTGGGGATGTTCAAAAAATGGGGTGGGCATGGTCAGAATGGGGTTGGGATGGCCAAAAATGGGGTGGGGATGGTCAAATTGGGGTGGGGATGGGGTGGTGGTCCAGGCATTTTGGGTGGCCACCAGGGCGACGCTTTGGCCACCCACGAACTCATGAGGGGCAGGCGAAACCCAACGAGACTTCTCCAACTTGGGCAAATCCCACCCAAAAATCTCCCACCTTGGATTCCACCCAAACCCTCACCCCACCCCAATTTTTCGCCCCTCCTTGGAGCCAAAACCCCCGAATTCCCCCAACAAGGAGAACCCCAACGCCCAACCGACCTCGGCCAAGCTCCGCGAATGCCACCCCAAGCCCGATTTCTCCCAAATCCACCCCAAAGCCCGTGGCCGGGGGCGTGCCCTGACCTGGCCCCAGGCCGGCGGCGGTCATCTGCGTGGCCATCAGCCGCGCCAGGTGCTTGATCTGCGCCTCGGTGCCGGCCGACTCCACGGGCGTGTAGGTGGCCTGGAAGGAGGCGGGCATGGCCTCGGGCAGGTACACCATGCTGATCAGCACCTGCGGGGACACGCGGCACGGGGCGGGCTCAGGCACCCCGGAATCGCCTCGGGGAGCCCGGAATCGCCTCGGGGAGCCCGGAATCAGCTCGGGGAGCCCGGAATCGGCTCGGGGAGCCCGGAATCAGCTTGGGGAGCCCGGAATCAGCTCGGGGAGCCCGGAATCAGCTCAGGGACCCCGGAATCGCCTCGGGGAGCCCGGAATCGGCTCGGGGAGCCCGGAATCGGCTCGGGGAGCCCGGAATCAGCTCGGGGAACCCAAAATCGACTCGGGTACCCCGGAATCGCCTCAGGGAGCCCGGAATCAGCTCGGGGAACCCAAAATCAGCTCGGGGAGCCCGGAATCAGCTCGGGGAGCCCGGAATCAGCTCGGGGAACCCAGAACCACCTCGGGGAGCCCGAAATCATCTTGGGGAACCCGAAATCAGCTCAGGGACCCCGGAATCACCTCGGGGAGCCCGGAATCAGCTCGGGGAGCCCGGAATCAGCTTGGGGAACCCAAAATCAACTCGGGTACCCCGGAATTACCTCGGGGAGCCCAAAATCATCTTGGGGAACCTGAAATCAGCTCAGGGACCCCGGAACCACCTTGGGGAGCCCGGAACCAGCTCGGGGAGCCCAAAATCACCTTGGGGAGCCCGGAATCACCTTGGGGAGCCCAAAATCACCTCGGGGAGCCCGGAATCAGCTTGGGGAACCCAAAATCAACTCGGGTACCCCGGAATCACCTTGGGGAGCCCGAAATCATCTTGGGGAACCTGAAATCAGCTCAGGGACCCCGGAACCACCTTGGGGAGCCCGGAACCACCTCGGGGAGCCCAGAATCACCTTGGGGAACCCAGAACCACCTCGGGGAGCCCGAAATCAGCTCGGGGAGCCCAAAATCAGCTTGGGGAACCCAGAACCACCTCGGGGAGCCCGAAATCAGCTCGGGGAGCCCAAAATCAGCTTGGGGAACCCAGAACCACCTCGGGGAGCCCGAAATCAGCTCGGGGAGCCCAAAATCAGCTTGGGGAACCCAGAACCACCTCGGGGAGCCCGAAATCAGCTCGGGGAGCCCAAAATCAGCTTGGGGAACCCAGAACCACCTCGGGGAGCCCGAAATCAGCTCGGGGAGCCCAAAATCAGCTTGGGGAACCCAGAACCACCTCGGGGAGCCCGAAATCAGCTCGGGGAGCCCAAAATCAGCTTGGGGAACCCAGAACCACCTCGGGGAGCCCGAAATCAGCTCGGGGAGCCCAAAATCAGCTTGGGGAACCCAGAACCACCTCGGGGAGCCCGAAATCAGCTCGGGGAGCCCAAAATCAGCTTGGGGAACCCAGAACCACCTCGGGGAGCCCGAAATCAGCTCGGGGAGCCCAAAATCAGCTTGGGGAACCCAGAACCACCTCGGGGAGCCCGAAATCAGCTCGGGGAGCCCAAAATCAGCTTGGGGAACCCAGAACCACCTCGGGGAGCCCGAAATCAGCTCGGGGAGCCCAAAATCAGCTTGGGGAACCCAGAACCACCTCGGGGAGCCCGAAATCAGCTCGGGGAGCCCAAAATCAGCTTGGGGAACCCAGAACCACCTCGGGGAGCCCGAAATCAGCTCGGGGAGCCCAAAATCAGCTTGGGGAACCCAGAACCACCTCGGGGAGCCCGAAATCAGCTCGGGGAGCCCAAAATCAGCTTGGGGAACCCAGAACCACCTCGGGGAGCCCGAAATCAGCTCGGGGAGCCCAAAATCAGCTTGGGGAACCCAGAACCACCTCGGGGAGCCCGAAATCAGCTCGGGGAGCCCAAAATCAGCTTGGGGAACCCAGAACCACCTCGGGGAGCCCGAAATCAGCTCGGGGAGCCCAAAATCAGCTTGGGCTCCCTGACCAGGTTGGGGACATTTCTGGGGGTCAGCAGTGACTCCAGGACAGGTGACACCCCCCCAAGTGTCCCCAAGGCCGATGTCCCCTCCCTGACCAGGTTGGCCACGTTCTCAGGGGTCAGCAGTGACTCCAGGACAGGTGACACCCCCTCAGAGCCCCCCCACAGTGTCCCCAAGGGCGATGTCCCCTCCCTGACCAGGTTGGCCACGTTCTCGGGGGTCAGCAGCGGCTGCAGGAACTCGGCCGTGATGTCGGTGTCCGAGGGGACAGTGACCGCTCCGGCCGCTTTGGCCACGGCCACCGCCGGCGCCTCCAGGTCCTTGTCCTCGTCATCCTCGCCCAGGGGTGGCTCTGAGGGGACACAGGAAGGTCCCTGAGTGTCCCCAAGGGGCCACCAGCAGGAGTTGGGGACACCAAAGGGACACTTGAGGGAACCACAGCGGTGGTGGCCTGCTAGAAGACCTGAGGGATGTTTAATGTCACCTCCCCTGGCCCAGTGTCACCAGGAGGGACTGGGAGGTCCTCGGGGGGGACCTGGGGGGGTTTAATGTCACCAACTGTCCCCAGCGTCTCCATGAGGCCACTGGGACCTGATGGCCACCACAGGGGAGGTGACACCAGTGCACCACAGCCCAAGGGCTTGTCCTGGGGTCACTTCCAGAACCCCCCGATGGCCACCATGGCCACCACCACCCACCCTGAACCCACCACACCCGATGCCACCATGGGGAGGTGACAATGACGTCACCAATGTCCCCACTCACCGATCTTCATCTTCTTGAGGGCATCACTGGGCTCGCCCTGGGGCCATTTCTGACGGCCACCACCACCCTGAACCCTGATGGCCACCATGGCCACCACCACCCACCCTGAACCCACCACACCCGATGCCACCATGGGGAGGTGACACCAGTGTCACCATGGGTTCTCACCGATCTTCATCTTCTTGAGAACATCACTGGGCTCGTCCTGGGGCCATTTCTGGAAACCTCTGATGGCCACCATGGCCACCACCACCCACCCTGAAACCTTCACATCCCTGATGCCACCATGGGGAGGTGACAATGACGTCACCAATGTCCCCACTCACCAATCTTCATCTTCTTGAGAATGACACTGGGCTCGTCCTGGGGCCATTTCCAGAACCCCCCGATGGCCACCATGGCCACCACCACCCACCCTGAACCCACCACACCTGATGCCACCACAGGGAGGTGACAATGATGTCACCAATGTCCCCACTCACCGATCTTCATCTTCCTGAGGGCATCACTGGGCTCGCCCTGGGGCCATTTCTGACGGCCACCACCACCCTGAACCCTGATGGCCACCATGGCCACCACCACCCACCCCGAACCCACCACACCCGATGCCACCATGGGGAGGTGACAATGACGTCACCATCGTCACACCCACCGATCTTCATCTTCTTGAGGGCGGCGTCGGGCTCGTCACGGGGCCGCTTGCGGGCCTCGCGGGGGCTGGGCATGCTGCGGGCGATCTCGGCCTGCGGCGTGCCCAGGTCCACCAGCAGCGTGGTGATCTGCGGCTGGAAGTCGCCCGAGGACGGGTGCCGCAGCACGCTCAGCAGGTGCAGCTTCAGGTTCTTCCGCACGCTGCTCACCTGGGACTTGGCCAGCGTGGGCGGCAGGTTGGCTACGAGGGGGGACACGGGGTTAGGGACACCTGGGGACAGTTGGGACACCTGGGACTTGGCCAGCGTGGGCGGCAGGTTGGCTACGGGAGTGGGGACACGGGGTTAGGGACAGCTGGGGACACGTGGGAACACGTGGGGACAGCTGGGACATGGCCAGCGTGGGAGGCAGGTTGGCTACGAGGTGGGGACACGGGGTTAGGGACACCTGGGGACACCTGGGGACACCAGGGGACAGCTGGGACATGGCCAGTGTCAGGGGCGGGTTGGCTACAGGGGAGGGACACAGGGTTAGGGACAGTTGGGGACACTTGGGGACAGTTGGGGACACCTGGGACATGGCCAGCATGGGCGGCAGGTTGGCTACGAGGGGGAACATGGGGTTAAGGACAGCTGGGGACCCTTGGGGACACCTGGGACATGGCCAGCGTGGGCGGCAGGTTGGCTACGAGGGGGAACATGGGGTTAAGGACAGCTGGGGACCCTTGGGGACACCTGGGACATGGCCAGCGTGGGCGGCAGGTTGGCTACGAGGGGGAACATGGGGTTAAGGACAGCTGGGGACCCTTGGGGACACCTGGGACATGGCCAGCGTGGGCGGCAGGTTGGCTACGAGGGGGAACATGGGGTTAAGGACAGCTGGGGACCCTTGGGGACACCTGGGACATGGCCAGCGTGGGCGGCAGGTTGGCTACGAGGGGGAACATGGGGTTAAGGACAGCTGGGGACACCTGGGGACACTTGGGAACACCTGGGACTTGGCCAGTGTCAGGGGTGTGTTGGCTACGAGGGGGGACATGGGGTTAGGGACACCTGGGACTTGGCCAGCGTGAGTGGAAGGTTGGCTTCGAGGGGGGACACGGGGTTAGGGACAGCTGGGGACACTTGGAGACAGCTGGGACATGGCCAGTGTGGGCAGCAGGTTGGCTACGAGGTGGGGACACGGAGTTAGGGACACCTGGGAACACTTGGGGACAGCTGGGGACACCTGGGACATGGCCAGCGTGGGCGGCAGGTTGGCCCGCTGGCGGGCGATGGTGGCCAGCGAGCCGAGCGCGGCCGTCAGGTTGATGCTGGAGATGGCCGGGTGCACCATGAACTTGAGCAGCTGCTCCAGCGCCGCCTTGCCCTCCTCCCACAGCACGTCTGGGGACAGCGGGGACAGCGGGGTCACCCACACATCAGGGGACAGCGGGGTCACCCACACGTCTGGGGGTCAGCGGGGGTCACCCACGTGCTGGGGGTCACTGGGGTCACCCATCAGGAGGGCACCGGGGTCACCCACACGTCAGGGGACAGCGGGGTCACCCACGTGCTGGGGGTCACCAGGGTCACCCACTGGTCGGGGGTCAGCGGGGTCACCCACGTGCTGGGGGTCACCGGGGTCACCCACATGCTGGGGGTCAGCGGGGTCACCCACGCGCTGGGGGTCAGTAGGGTCACCCATGTGCTGGGGGTCAGCGGGGGTCACCCACGCGCTGGGGGTCAGCGGGGACAGTGGGGTCACCCACACGTCAGGGGACAGTGGGGTCACCCACACGTCTGGGGACAGTGGGATCACCCACATGCTGGGGGTCAGCGGGGTCACCCACGTGCTGGGGGTCACCGGGGTCACCCACATGCTGGGGGTCAGTGGGGTCACCCACCGGGAGGGCACCGGGGTCACCCACCCACCGGGAAGGCACCGGGGTCACCCACATGTCGGGGGACAGCGGGGTCACCCACGTGCTGGGGGTCAGCGGGGTCACCCATGCGCTGGGGGTCAGCGGGGTCACCCATCGGGAGGGCACCGGGGTCACCCACACGTTGGGGGACAGCGGGGACAGTGGGGTCACCCACACGTCAGGGGACAGTGGGGTCACCCACGTGTTGGGGGTCAGCGGGGTCACCCACCCACCGGGAGGGCACCGGGGTCACCAATCCATGGGGAGGTCACCAGGATCCCAATCAGGGGGTCAGTGGGGTCCCCAACTCAAGGGGTCAGTGGGGTCCCCAACCCAAGGGGTCAGTGGGGTCATCCCACCCCAAATCCCCCCCACTCACTGGATTTGATGACGGGGTGGTCCCCATCCCATTCCTGACCCCAAACCCCAATCCCAAACCCCAAATCCCAATCCCAATCCCAATCCCAAGCCCCCAGACTCACTGTACTTGATGACGGGCTGGTCCCGATCCCAAACCCCAAACCCCAAACCCCAATCCCAAACCCCAAATCCCAATCCCAATCCCAATCCCAAGCCCCCAGACTCACTGTACTTGATGACGGGCTGGTCCCGATCCCAAACCCCAAACCCCAAACCCCAATCCCAAACCCCAAACCCCAATCCCAACTCACTGTACTTGATGACGGGGTGGTCCCGCGGGATGCGCTCCAGGCTCCCAAATCCCAAACCCAGCCCCAAGCCCCCAGACTCACTGTACTTGATGACGGGGTGGTCCCGATCCCAAACCCCAAACCCCAAATCTCAATCCCAAACCCCAAGCCCAACTCACTGTACTTGATGACGGGGTGGTCCCCATCCCAAACCCCAATCCCCAAACCCCAATCCCAATCCCAAGCCAAGCCCCCAGACTCACTGTACTCGATGACGGGCTGTTCCCAATCCCAAATCCCAAATCCCAATCCCAATCCCCCAGCCTCACTGTCCTTGATGACGGGCTGGTCCCCATCCCAAACCCCAATCCCCAACCCCCAATCCCAATCCCCCAGCCTCACTGTCCTTGATGACGGGCTGGTCCCCATCCCAAACCCCAATCCCCAACCCCCAATCCCAATCCCCCAGCCTCACTGTCCTTGATGACGGGCTGGTCCCCATCCCAAACCCCAATCCCCAACCCCCAATCCCAATCCCCCAGCCTCACTGTCCTTGATGACGGGCTGGTCCCCATCCCAAACCCCAATCCCCAACCCCCAATCCCAATCCCCCAGCCTCACTGTCCTTGATGACGGGCTGGTCCCCATCCCAAACCCCAATCCCAACTCACTGTACTTGATGACGGGGTGGTCCCCATCCCGAACTCCAAACCCCAATCCCAACTCACTGTACTTGATGACAGGGTGGTCCCGATCCCATTCCTGACCCCAATCCCAAGCCCCCAGACTCACTGTACTTGATGACGGGGTGGTCCCCATCCCAAACCCCAAACCCCAATCCCAACTCACTGTACTTGATGACGGGGTGGTCCCGCGGGATGCGCTCCAGGCTGACGTCGTTCTCGTGCCGCCGGGGGACGTCGGAGTCGGCCGTGCGGGGGGACAGCGTCACGATCAGCCCCTCCACGAACTTGATGGCGTGCGTGCGGATGCCGTCGTTGTCCGAGTCCAGCAGCAGGATGATGTCGCTGGCCATGGAGGACATCATCTCCCAGCAGGCCTCCTGCAGCTCGCTGATCACCTTGGACTTCACCATCCACTGCCGAGA